CACATTGAGGGGCCATGCAGCAGAAATTTCAGACATCAGCATCTCCGAAGATAATACGCTGTTGGCAACGGGCTCTGTGGACCGATCAGTCAGGTGGCTGTATTAATTCCCCATCACTGAACTCTCGTAAAAGTGAAATTATATCACTTTTTTTTTTTTAATTTTGGATGTTTTCAGAGTTTGGTGTTTGCAAACAGCGGCCCCAGTGTGTTTGTTTCGGTCACATTCCGCCATAGTTACACTGGTTACATTTCTGCCATTTGTTGACGGGACAGTGCGTTATTTGGCTTCAGCTGGTGGCGATTGCACTGTTAATTTCTATCGCTACTGCTCTGCGGATCGTGAATTTGAGTATGCTCCTTACTTTTACTACTATTTAAGACTGCTCCTTGATCTGTTCACTTAACTTTTCTGAGGTGCTGGCTTGATCCCTGTCTCGTGCATTTCTCGCTGTACAGCTGAAGTACTATTGCATGCAGCTTCGAGTTTTGCGATTTGACTTTGACTTCTCTAGATACTGAAGTATTGCTTGTTCTGGCATATAGGAATATACATATTAAATATCCGACAAGCTTGCACATTTTTCCCTCAGGAAGCACCTAGTGATGGTGGGACAACAGCAAAGGGATAAGCAGAGCCGATTTTTATAGAGTAGTGGGGAAATATATAAATGAATAAATGCTTAAATATATATATAATGTGAGTTGACAGGTACATCTGTTTTGGTTAAAAAGTAAATATGCGCCCCTCTCCAGCCGAGCATTGCATGTAAAAGGACTATTGGTTGATGCAAATTTCATTGCACAGTCGGTGCCCTCAAAATGTGAAACTGGAAAGGTCGTGACAACCGCAATACTACTGTACTTAAGACAGTAACGTGCGAATATGATCACTGACGAAAGTTGAAGAGCGATTACTAACTGTCATGGAGAGAGCTATGAAGCATAGAACGTATAAAAGATTAGACTGCTCGTCAGATGAACGGCGTATAAGGCTCTACCATAACAGAAGTCCTGTGGGGAGAGCATGTTGCTGGTTGATGGGCGTTGTACATTCGAAAGTAGTACCTGCGATCACTAGAGCAGCCTTCGAAGAAGTAACGCATACACGTCGAGTAGTTGATGACTTGCAGCCTCAGGAACAAGAAGTCTGGTATAGCTGCATCCAGCATGTGGATGCATTCCCTAGGGATACTTTTGGTGTTCTTATGTTGTTGAGTGTGATGGTAAACTGAAGTAAATTAAAAAATAGCTATGAGATTAACATAAGCTGAGAGCGAACGTTTCGTCCCACCGGGTTATGCACGTGTTCTGTCAAATGCATAATTCAAAATTAGTTGATTATCCATTATTTTCTGTTTATTTGGCTGTAAAATTGTTTTTTTTAGGTCTGCACCGATACAGTTTTTTGAGCGCACAACAGCGGGCCCTCGCATTGTCAGCACATGTCACAGTCCCGGGGGCAGTTTGGTTGTTTTCGGTGACACTCATAACAAGCTGAGAATTTATCGAATTAAACGGGACGGAATTGAGAAATTAATCGATATCGATGCACACACGGTAAGACAAATTCAGTTTTTTTTTTAAAGATCGTTTGGAATTTTCGATATCAGCTACTCTAGAAATAAGCAAATGTCTCTATTCCTTGCTTACAGGATCGCGTTGATAGTCTGGAATGGGCACATATGGGGTTACGCTTTGCGAGTGGTAGTCGTGATGGCACTGCAAAAGTATGGAAATTTGAGTGCAACAGTTGGATGCCGATTGTTTTGCATCCGAAAGTGAAGTACGTCTTTTTCTCTGTGACTTTTCATGTTTTCAGCAAGCAAAAAAATAATGCAAAATTAATTCTCATGAGTTAAATTTTGTTAGTGTAATATGTTCTGCTTTGGATAATTGTTGAAGTCGAAATCCTCGCCGTATTCGCTTTTTATGAAAGGTGGATGACGTAGCCTAAATGATAGCAAGTGTTAACAGTAATTAGCTGCTGGTGGAACCCTGGAGGAATCCTTCTTTCGAGGATTGCCTAGTAACGAATTGATGAACAAACTGACTTCTCGGCACATACCAGTGCCTGTATCTTCTCGAAACGAAGGAATCAAGTCGCAGAGGAATGGTTGTCCCACTGGCGGAGCTAATCCCGGAATTTAGGCGTGAGGACAGTGCTGCTTGATACTGACCATCGATGCCCATCAGACTGT